CATTTTCCTTTCTAACTGATATTTGTACCTGACATACTCCACTGTTTGGTTTTTTTATTATTTTTTTATTTACTGATTGGTGATGTAGATACCTATACACACTTTAAATTTCTCCAGTAGATCTACTGGATTTCACTCAATATTTATTGATGTGTTCTCTTAACTTAGTGTGCCCTACTTTATGCCTGTGTAGTTAAAATCTCTCATTACTACAAGCATGCTCTTTACACACGTGATTTTGATTTCAGTCCATTATCACAGCACTTCTGTACTTGTGCTCCACTGGTGCACATGCTGCTATGACACGATCATGGGAAATTCTTCCTACGTGTGATATCAATGCTCACTGCTGGTACAATCAACACTTGGGGATATCAGAAATGGATATCTATCAGTCTCGCATAGCTCATCAGAAAGTTGCAGAGCAAACCTTTCCCCACTGGTTTTGAATGCTGGTACCCATCATTCTCCTTCGAGTGCTTGCTCATGTCCATTCCAGGCTAGGTGTGTGTGCACCATGTGCACTGTTGCCAGAGTTTTTTCCCTTAGTGATATCTCTTGGGCCGACTCTAGCGCCCTGTGGAGCTGCGTGCATATGCACCGGTTATAAGGGGTGCTGCAAGCCCACATCCTCTCAGTCCCTTCGTACAGCCTGGGATTGTTGCTGGAAGACCCTTTCTTGCTCTGACAAATCTGTCGGGACTTCAGACCATGAAACCACCATGGTACCAGCAGACTGACGGTGCCATCAACCCTGGAGTCTCTCTCTCTTCTGGTCCCTCCAACCCCAATGGGGCACCTACCAGCTCTGGCATCTGGAAGCAGGAGGGAACAGAGTGTGTCAGGTGCCTTCCCGGCACCAGGCCCCCTGGCATCATCTAGGGGCCAGTCCCACATGATCTCAGCATCCCAATCCTTGGCCATGCCACTGTTCCCTGTAATTCTGGCACCATATAGAGGTGGAAACTGTTACCACTCCACCATGGTTGCCGAGAGAGGAATCCTCTTCGGAGTCCGAAGGGGAACCCTATGATGTACCGCCAAAAGCCCACCATCGGTACCCAGCCTATGCCCCCCCGAGCTTCAGAGCCAGTCCCACAGCAGGTACCTGGCCAGCGGGTCACTGTCGATGCAGTGGCCCTACTGGAATCCCTGGGGGTTTCCCCCAGTACTGGGGCCTTCCTCCCACTTGGTGGTTTCCGAGAGATGGGCTACTGCTCCTTTCTGCTCAGCATCGGACCCCGACTCTGGTACTGACCCCAGTGCCGAAGTCCAAGAGATGCCTCTAGGGGACGTATTTGAGGAAACGGAAGGAACCCCTTCTCTGGTGCAAGCCTTCTCCTCATCCTCCCCAGATGAGGCTGTTGCAGGTCCCAGCCCAGGATGATTTCAGGACCTTCTGAAGCGGGCCGCTTCAAACCTGGGCTTGCAGATGGAGGAGCTCAAAGAGACATCATACAGCCTTATTGATATCTTGGATGCAGCAGCTCCATCCAAGGTGGCCCTGCCCATCAATGAGGTGGTAATGGAGCCAGTCAAGGCCCTCTGGCAAACCTCTTCTTCTCTGACCCCCGCTTCAGAGAGGACAGAGAAAGTATGATGTACCAGGAAAGCAGATTTGATTACCTGTACTTGCTCCCCTACCCCGCCCTGGGAGTCCTTGGTGGTGTCTGCAGCGAACTTCAGGCACACGCACAGCTCTGGGGAGTCTGCACGGATTTGCGGACCCTCCACCTGCTCTTGGCCAGATGGGGATACGGGCTGGGGCTGCTCTCAGCCCCCCTGAACCATGGACAGGTAGAGTGTCTGCCACAGCTCCCCAGAGCTGCCCGGGCTCCCTGGCTGGGCTCCATGCTGGAGGTGGGGCCTTGGGGAGAAGAGGAGGAGAGGAAGGGGGCAGGGTCCACCCCTGCAAAAAGTAGATGTGCCAGGCCACCCTACTTTCTAAAAGTGGGAGGGTCCTGAGCCCCCTTCCCCTGATTCTGGTGCCACTGCTGCCTACTGTACACCTTCCTCCGATCCTCTTGGTTCACAAGGTTCTTCTGAAAATCAAATGGGACAAGGCAAGAATTATCCTGATAGCAGTAGTGTGACCTCGCCAGCATTGATCTGGCACAATTCTGGACGTCTTGGTGGCAGCTCCGCTTCGCCCAGACTTGATTTCACAAGAGTACAGCCGGTTGCTTCACCCGAACCTTCCCTCCCTGCACCTAACTGCATGGATGCTGCATAGCTGAACCCTGAAGAACAGGCTTGCTTGGAACAGGTTCCACAGTTCTTTCTAGGTAGTAGAAAGCCTTCCACCAGGGCTACTTACTTGGCCAAGTGGAAACATTTCACTTGGTGGGCCTCCCAACGGGATCTCTCTTCATCTCTATCTTCTCTTCAGTCTATCTTGGACTGTTCGCTCAACCTAAAGCACCAGGGTCTAGCACTCTCATCTATTAAGGTTCATTTGGTTGCCGTCTCAGCCTTCCACTCCCCAGAGAACGGCAGATCATTTTTCTCTCACGACACGACAGCCCAGTTTCTCAAGGGGTTGGAAAGACTGTATCCTCTGGTTTGCGAACTGACCTACCCACCATGGAACTTAAACCTGATCCTGTCGAGACTTAGGGGCCTCCATTCAAGCTGTTGGCATCATGCTTCCTACTATTTCTCTCCTGGAAAGTTGCCTTCCTGTTGTCAATCACCTCAGTCAGAAGGATCACTCAGATCAAGGCCCTTATGTCAGAATCACCTTACACATTGTTCTTCAGGGACAAGGTTCAACTGCGCCCCCATCCAGCTTCCTGCCAAGGGTGATGGCACAATTCCACAACAACAAGGTCATTTTGCTACCTGTCTTCTTCCCAAAAGCTCTGAGGTACGACGGCTTCATACATTGGACATTAGGCAGGCCCTTGCCTTTTGTATTGAGAGGACTAAGCCCTTCTGGAAATCCACACAGCTCTTTGCAGCAATAACAAAGAATGAGAGGGCTACCTGTGGTAACCCAAAAAATCTCTTGTCCTGGGTAACTGCCTGTATTCTGGCTTGCTATGAGCAGGTGAACATCCTGCCTCCAGCCATCGTGACAGTTCATTCCACAAGAGCCCAGGCTTCATCAGCAGCATTCCTCGCACAGGTACCAATCCAGAACATCTGCAGAGCCTGCAACCTGGTCATTAGTTCATACCTTCACGTCCCACTACACCATCACCCAACAGGCCCAAGATAGGATTCTTCCCAAAAGTGGGGGGGCACAAGGTCTCTTGGGCCCCTCCACTTGCCTGGGGTGGAAAGGCCTGAGAGCAGCCCCTGGCCTGTGTCTCCGCCCCGCTGGCCTACCACCCAGGGCAGGTGGAGGGTCCATGGCTCTCCACAGTTGCCCATGCTGATGTTAGCCTGACCTGGCTCTGGCTTCCAGGGTAGCCTGGAGGTGGGTCTTCAGGGGCCAAAGAGCCACAACTGGGCCATGGTAAGAGCTGCCTGGGCAGCAGTGGGGAGCCACGGACCCTATACCTGCCCTGGATGGGGGGTCCGAGTGGCGGGGACACAGGCTGGGGGCTGCTCTTACCACCCCACTGCCCTGGGCAGGTGGAAGGCCTGCAGCTCCCTACAGCTCCCTGGGCCAGGTTCCAGCTTTGGGGATGAAGAGGAGGCACAGGGGGCCAGGACCATGATGAAAAGTGGATGAGCCAGGCCCTTTTCTGGTGCCTTTTCTGGAGCCCCTGGCCCAAGACGATGCCAGTTTTGGGAGAAGAGTGTTGCAGTCAGCACATTCATTAACTTTGAGTCCACTTCCTGGGGTACTGCATGTGAGTCACCTAGCATGGAATGGACATGAGCAAGCATTCAAAGAAGAAAAAACGGTTACCTACCTTTAAAAACTCTTGTTCTTTGAGATGCGTTGGTTCTGTCCGTTCCATGACCCACTCTCCTCCCCCTCTGTCGGAGTTGAATGGCAAGAAGGAACTGAGATGGCATAGGGCCATTGGTGCTTCTTATATTGGCGCATACACATGCAGCCCAACAGATATCAGTAAGGGAAAAATCGCTGGCAACAGCGCATGTGGCATGTACACACCTAGCACGGAATGGGTATGAGCAACACATCTCGAAGAACAACAGTTACGAAAAGTAAGTAACTGTGTTTTCTTTTTTTTAAACCCTTATTACTCTTTGAGGATACAGACTATATCTGTCATTCTACTTTTTCCTCCTCAGCTTTCTTGTACAAAAAATGTGCCTGGCTAAGGCATTTGGAAGTTACTTGCAGAGTACAAGAACAAATGAATCAAATAAAATGAAGACCAGTGTAAAACCGGTGTGAACTAGAATAAGGTTGGGAATCGACTATCTGATTGCGGACCTATTAGTCTTGCTGAGCTGACACAACCCTCTCCACGGTCCTGGGCAGGCTCTCTGTGGCTTCCCAGTGCCCTTGCAAAACAGAAATGTAGAGTTTCTTCTATTGTTCAGGCTCTGAACGGGGAACTGCAGTTGATTCCCCTGGTTATCTTTGTAAATCCTAAATTGTAACATCACAGCTACAATAATTCACCACATTTATTTTTTCTTCTGAGCTTGTGATGTTTTCCTTAGCAATGAAAATTTTATTAGCTCATGTATCATGAGCTAATATCATAATTTTAAATCTATATGCATATCCTATTGTTAATATGTAGTGTGATAGGTCTGTGTTGTAAAGATCAGGTTCACCTCTGAGCTTCCCCAGAGTTCAGGGGAGTTCAGATCCAGGGTGTTTGTTCAGGTCTATCTCTCTTTATCCTTTCTCCGCTACATAATGTAGCGTGAGTATAACTGTAATTAGAAACAAAGGAAACAAAATTGAACATAATGAGACATTTAAAATCCATTAAAAGGTTTACTCTGGAAATGGTATGTGAGCTTTGAAAGCTATTCTTAGAAGCAGAATTTAGGTGCAGTTCAGTTGTTGCGCCACACAGTGTCACAATTGGTCTTTACGTCTACTCAGTATTTCTTTCTGGTTGTAGATGAAGGTATTTACAAAGCTGGTGAAAAACGGTCTGAAATGTGGGGGGCAGCAGAAATCCAGGAAGATGAAGACACTCAGGTAGAGGTTCCAGTGGATCAGGTAATCTTTAAGCTTTGAACGAATGACTAATGTGGAAAACAAATCTTGTGTTTTTCTTTTGTCACTTCCCTTGATGCCGGCTGCATTTTTTTTACAGGGTTCATTTGTAACGTTCATTGGTACAGCATTGTATATAAGATTGCACTGCTTTTGAATACATTCCCTTTCCTTGAATGCTTTCTGAGTTCCAGTTATTTGTTTCTGTCAAGAGATAGGCCTCTCCAGCATGCTCTCTTGTTTCCGTGCCTGCACATGTTCTTTTAACCAATTACCAGACTTAGGTTGGTTCAAAACCCAACCCCCACACCTCTTTGTGGGGTCTGATTTATTAAGTCTTTCTGTAAAAGGTGACTTACCCTGTTAGTAACCCCAGGTCACCCCACTCTGGGTCCCTATAAGAGTCCAAGTCAGCTCTTCATCATGGTTCAGGAGACAACCCCACCCCTGACTGTCTTCTCTATCAATAATCCCTAGGCCTCTCATATATGTATAGGCCCTTTAAAACCTTACTGGGCCAAATCACATGGTGGGATGGGTTGACCATTAGGTACCACTGCCCTTAAGAGGGCACACCGCCCCATCACAGTTTCCTATGTATCAGTGCAAAGTCCTTGCACTCCCAAAATCTACTCAAATACCCCCCAAGTCTTCAGAGGATGTTTACTGTAAAAAGAAGCCTGTGTCCTGAGGTGAAGTGTACAGCATTGTTTCCAGTAACCATGCCCTCACCCCGCTTATTTGCGCCTTGTCTACATTTGAAAGGGTTTGCCCGAATAGCGGTACTGGTAGAGTTTTACAAGCAGCCCCACTAGCAGAGAAGCTGCTGATACTGGAAAGGGTTGTTTTCCTGGCATAGCTTAAACTAGTTCCCAAAGAGAATAAGCTTTACCAGCAAAAAAGACTTTTAAAGTGTAGACCATCCCTCAAGATGCCTAGAAAACATCAGTAGTTTACTAAGACTGAGGAAGGGTGAATAAAGGGGATCTGCTGGTCTCCACCCACCCACCCCAGAAAGCTTCTTGGGAAGTACCTGCCATTTGGTACCATCTGGTATACTTCAAAAGACAAAGCAATCACTGTTGTATAATACTTTAACATTCTACTTTTTTAAAATTGTAATTGATGTCTCCCTTGCATTTGTTCTTTCTCTTTTCCCTTCCTTAGCCCCACTTTTCTTTCTCTTGCATGTCTGGGTATCCTTTTTCTCTTCCTTCATCTTCTTCATTTTTCCCTGCATTGTGTTCTCTTCCTCCTTCCTCATGTTTTCACTCTCTCTCCCCTCCCCCTTTCTTAAGCCCTCACCTCTCCCGCTATTACTCTTTCTTAGCGTAACACTTCAATCCTTCCCTAAAATCCCAAATCTACTCCCCTGGCTCACCCACAAAAACTGCCGAGGTTGCTGTACATTACAGCGATCTTGATTAAGACACCTATGGACCACTAGCGCAGACTGTCCAAAGCATAGTATGTTCCAGCAATAATCCTTTCCCCCATATTGCTGAAGAAAGGCAGAACTGGGCTGCTCCACTCAGCCTTATGCCAGTAGGTGGAGCCCTGCTCTGTCAGAAGGATTCCCTACTGCAGGGGTTGGCAACCTTTCAGAAGTGGTGGGCTGAGTCTTCATTTATTCACTCTAATTTAAGGTTTCGCGTGCCAGCAGGGCCGTCCTTACCCATACACAAAGCATGTAGCTGTGTAGGGCACCAGGAAATTTGGTGCCCAAATTTCCTGGTGCCCTGTGCAGCTGCGTGCTGCTCCAGCCTCTGCTCCGGCTCTTCCCCAGGCTCCCGCCCCTGTTCTGCTCGAGCCCCGCCTCTTCCCGCCCTCGCCCCGCCCCCACTCCCCTGAGGACTCCAGAAGCGGTTGGGCATGCACTCACCGGTAAGTGGAGCGACCCGGCTCCAGCCTGCTCCGCTCCCCTGGCTCCTAGCCGTGCCGCTGGCGAGTGCTGGGGGGGGCGGTTCCCCCTCGCCCCAAGCCCGGGAGCCAGGGAAGCAGAGCAGCCTGGGGCCTCAGGCCTCTGCAGGCAGGAGAGTGGGGGCTGGCCCCAGGCCTCCGTGGGGGATGGGGGCTAGCCGCTTCCTGCGGGAAGTGGAGTGACCCAGCCCCAGCCTGCTTCGCTCCCCTGGCTCCCAGGCTTGGGGGGAAGGGGGGAACCACCCCCCCAGCCCTTGCTGGCAGCACGGCTGGGAGCCAGAGAGCGGAGCAGGCTGGGGCGGGGTCGTTCCAATTCACGCAGGAAGCTTCCAGCCCCTGTCCCTCACGGAGGCCTGGGGCCAGCCCCCCATCCCCTCCCCGTGGAGGCCTGGGGCGGGGCCCCACACAGTCCCCCTTATGGAGGCCTAGGGCCAGCCGCCCCCACTCCCGCCCATGGAGGCCTGGGACCCCACAGCACACCCCCCCCCCCCACGGGGGGCTGCGTAGGGCACCAAAATAGCTAGGGACGGCCTTGCGTGCCAGTTATACATTTTAACATTTTTTAGAAGGTCTCTCTCTATAAGTCTGTATTATATAACTAAACTATTGTTGTATGTAAAGTAAACAAGGTTTTTAAAATGTTTAAGAAGCTTCATTTAAAATTAAATTAAAATGCAGATCTTATTAGTTTAGTGCAGTGGTTCTTCACCTGGGGTGCACGCACCCTCTGGGGGTGTGAGATGCCCTTTCTGGGGGTGCGAGAAATGTGAGATTTTTTTAGAAGGTAAATCATCGAAAACACAAATTAAGCACAGGCACATAAGTGCAACTACTTGGTTTCATCAAACCTATGTATTTATTAACATTATACATTTGTTAACGATTACTGTAATATACAAACAAAGTTTTTCAGTTTTTAAGCTAATTGTAGTGTAATTTTTGATAAGGGGTGCGAGAACATATTTTGAAAACCAAAGGGGTGCAGGCTGCAGTAAAGGTTAAGAACCACTGGTTTAGTGTGATTCTTGCCCTTGCTTTTCCTTGCTGAGTTTTCCACTGTCTGGCACGTATTTGGATACTTTAAGCTGCAAACAAGCTTCTGAGTGATCAGTTGTTAACCAAGAGGGACTGAGGACAGATTTCATGTGCGAAAATACCTGTTCGCACAGCTTTGTGGATCCAAATGCTGAAAGCATTGCAAACGCAATTTTCTTCAAACAGTTACATTTCAGTGGCAGGGACGTCCAGCAGGTCAGAATAGAGGCCCATGATCTCTCTTGGTAGTTTCAAATGCACTCCGCAGATCTACAAACTTTGATGCCCACAATTCTGAGCTTTTTAACTGAATGAGCTGCTTTTTGAAATCTTCAACACCCATCCACTGAAATACAGACGAATCCAAGTCACTTGAACTTTTCAGGTTTAATTAGAAAAGAAAGCATTGGGCCAAATTGCTGGAAATCTTGAAATCTGTCAGAAAATTCTGATTCCAGTTCTTGCATGTACATTCCAATCTCATCGACACTGACAGTGCAACGTGTTGAAAGCTCTTTTATGTGTTGGAAGTAGCAGAAAGTAGAAGTTTGATTATCCCGAGAAAAAACTGCTAGTTTTACAACAAATGCCTTCCAAGCTTCATAAAGATCCAGAATTGTTTGCCCTCACCCTGGAGACAAAGGTTAAGTTCATTTAGGTGAGTGTTGATGTCAATTAGAAGCATGAGTTTACACAGCCATTTGTCATCATCCAGTTTGGGGTAGTTTTGTTCTTTTTCCTGCAAAAAGGCCTTGATTGCTTCAAAACAGTTTACAAAGCACACCAAATCCTTGCCACAACTTAGCTACCGAATGTTGCTGTGAAGTGGAATGTCGTTATAAGCACTGTGCATTTCTTCTAGCAGTGCTTGAAACTGTCTGTGAGTCAAAGAAGATCGAGCAACAAGGAAATTCACAATTCACACGGTTGTATTCATCACATTATTAAGCTCTGAATTAGAAATTTTAGCACACAGGCACTTTTCTTGATGGATGATACAGTGAAATTTGACAGTCGGACGGCCAATTTGATCTTCAGGTATCTTTACAAATCCATTCTGTTTTTCGACCATGGCAGGAGCACCATCTGTTGTCACACAAAATATTTTTCTGATGTCAACTCCTCATTCTTCAAAGTGGTTAACAAAACTTTCCACTATATCTTCCCCCTTTGTTGTGCCATGCAGGGGTTTTAGGCAACAAAGTTCCTCTTGGATTTCATCGGAAGCACAATATCTCACAACAACTGCTGAACGTGGAATGTCGTTTATATCCATGCTCTCATCAACTGCAACGCTAAACACTGCTGTGTCTTTTAATGCAGTCGTCTGCTTTTCCTTAATGTTTTCTGCCATTTCGCTTATGCGTCTTGCAACTGTTCTGGCAGAGACAGGCAGCTTTTTTATTCTAGATATGATCGAATCTTTATTTGGCAAATCATTGAACAAAATCTCCGAACTGCTGAGAAAAACTTCTTTTATATATTCCCCATCTGTAAACGGCTTTCCGTTTTTTTGCAATGCACTGTGCAATCTTGTAACTTCCTTCTGTAGCTTGATTTTTACTTACACTTAAGCTTTTAAAAACACTGCTTTGCTTCTCATATCCTGCTACTGCCTTCTTGATTGATTCAGTCTTGTCTACTTCCTCAAGAAAGGTTTTCTCGTGCTTCGTTTCAAAATGTCGTTGAACACTTGATGTGTGACAAACAACACTTTCACAACAAAAAGCACAAATTGCACGGTCCTTCTTTTGAATAAATCCAAATGTGTCTGTCCAAGAAGGCTGAAATGAACGGACATCTAACTTTGCTTTCCTAGGAGCTGCCGTTTTGTCAAATGTTCCCCTCAACTCTCAGTGGGAAAAGAAATGGCGACAGAGGACACGCACAAGGTCAAACGTGGTCTGATATAAGCAGCAAACCAGGATTTAAAAATATCCCAGTGGCCTGGAAAAAAATTTAAGATGGGGGTGCTGAACTGTGCCCCCTATTGCCCCTGTCTGCACCCCTCACTGCCCTAGGCTGGGGTCAGTGGGCCACAGCTGGGG